TCAAAAGCGCTCGAGTTTCTGAACCTTTTGGATTTATTTTTGTTCTTTGAGATAATTCTTTTATCATTTTTTTTAATACTTTAGATATATCTTCATGATTTTGTTGGTTCTTAATACAACAAAAGTTTATACCTGGATGTCCCCTAACATGTGTACACAATCTCGGAAATTTGTTTACAGTAAAATACTCCATAACTGTAATGAGAATTTTACATAATAACAATATGAAAAAGTGACCAGTTTCCTCAATAATAATAAAATAAACATCAATTTTAGATATACTGTATTATGTTTTTGTTTTTCCTTTTCTCCTCAGTGGTATATTTATTTATTGTCTACAGTTAAAGTGCCAACTATCCGAGAGGCCTTAAATGTACGATATTACGTTATTGTTCCTTTTCTCTTAAGTAGTATATTTATTTATTGTTTACAGTTAAAGTGACAACTATCCGAGAAGCTTCAGATGTACGGTATTATGCTGTTGTTCCTTTTCTCCTAAGTAGTATATTTATTTATTGTTGTCAAGTGCCAGTTATCCAGGAGACCTTAAGTGTACGTTGCATTAAAACAGAAAGCTACGCAGGAATTATCGACACCTTCGAACAAAGGAAACATAAATATATTCAGTTTATACTGATCATACAGAAAGTAGATAAGTTGAGGTAAAAGAAAAGTAAAATATCAATAACGGAACAGAACAGTTTCTTCCTCTAATTATTTACGCCAAAGATAAACATGTATATGTGTATATAATGAGATCTAATTTTCTTTAAAAAAAAACAGAAAATTTCTTTCAGACATTATTTCTACAACGAAGGGCTTTATTTACACAGATATAACTTTTCTTTTTTAAAACATTTTATTCAACTTAGCGTATCTTCTTCGTAACTAAAACTGAAAACTGTATTGCAGTCACGTACTGGTTTTACTGTTCCACTGCTGAGTTCAAACATTGTTAGGTTATAAAAACTGTATAACTACTGATTATATAGAGAGACGTTCTCTTTCTGGTAAAAGCCTTAAAAGAAAGAGTTAGAATTTGCTTTTTAAAAATACTTACACGGTTACTAAACAAGTATTTTTTAATTTTTCTAATTTAAATATACTAATTACTTCAGGTGATAAAAATTACAGTTGAAGTTTTTATAGAATGTGTCTAATAATATCGTATAATTTATACTAACACATATTTCGTAATAATCGCAATTTTTTTACACGAAATGTAGAGACGAAATAAGAATATTAAAAAAACATTATCCATTTTTATACCAACTTGTCTTTGGGTACACTTTTACACAGAACAAGTAAACCGGGTATATATATGTATACAAAATCAAACTATTACTTAATTATGAACAATATCAGATAATTAGAAGTTAAAGTCTTAACTCTTGAATAAATTTATAAATTATATAATGAATATAATGAAATTGTTTTACGAACGATTCAGATATTGTTTTGTTTGAATTATCAATATACGAAGGTTTTAAATTAACTTTGAGATTAATACTGTACATACTGAAAACTGGAGTATCAGACTATTCTATTGTTTCCTCTCCTTTAGCCCCCCCCCCCAGTGACACAGCGGTATGTCTACGGACTTTCAACGCTAGAATCCGGGTTTCGATACCTGTGGTGGGCAAAGCACAGATAGCCCATTGTGTAGCTTTGTGCTTAATTACAAACAAAACCTGTCCTTTATCAATTTCTTCTATCGGTTTTGTGACTTCGAAGATCACTTATCAGGATATGATTTTACTGTGAATCTATAACAAAATCATAGAAGTACCGTTTTTCAACTAAAAATAAATCATATAAATCAAATGCATATATTTTTCAAAAGTATATAAATGCAGAATGCAATCCAGGTGTAAGTTAAGTATATTAAAAATGCTCAAAAATAAATAAAATTAGTCACTATACTGTCCTTTTAAAACTAAAGTCTCATTCTAATTACACTTTCGCTTATTATTATTATAGATGTACAATTTATTTATTCTATAATATTATTTTCTTACTTACGTCTTTGTCTTTTCTGTTACGTCTTAGTAACAGTTTTTACTGTTGCACAATTCCTACTGATTTTACACAACCCAATTACTTCTGCCGTCTCACCACTACCTATTTAAAGTGGTGCCCAAAAAAATTGATAAAATATTTTTCGAAAAATAATAATTTATGTTTTACATTATATGCCCAAAAAGATAAAACATGAAAATATAGTTCTTTTAGAATTTTCTTAAAATGTTTGCTGGCATATAATGGGCTTTTTTTCGGGGCACCTAACAAGGAATTTATATAAATTTGTTCTTAATCTTAAATCATGTTTCACCATTATAGAATTCACCACAATTTACATATTCTAAAATATATATTACGTTTTTAGAATTGCAATTAAATGAGTTATTAATGAAAAACAAAATTTCTTTATCACTGTTCTTTATTGTTTTGTAGTTTTCTACATAAGTACAAAGTATCAATTCATCCCAGGTTTAATAAAGGTTTTATCATAAAAGGTTTAGTTTCAGAATATTGTTTGTTTGTTTTTACTTATGGGAGACAAATCTTTAATCAAATTTCTCAAGTTCATCAATGGGCACAATAGTTGCTCTAACTTATGCTAGTATCACTGGTTCATCAATGGGCACAATAGTTGCTCCAACTTATGCTAGTATCACTATGGAATTTTTCAAATTACAAATATTTATTATACTACCTAATTATTTTCAAGATAATTTTGTAGTTCACGTAAAAACCTTTTGGAAAATATTTTTAGACGATTATTATGTAATATGGAAAGATACTCGAGATATTAATAAGTTTGTTGGAATTTTAAATTCAGTAAACAAAGAAATTAAGTTTACCTTTGAAAGAAACAATAAATCCCTGTCCTTTTTTAGATGCGTTGGTATATATTTAAGTGTTTCACCAGAAACTAAAATTGTAAATGGTATTTTTTATAAACCCACTAACTCATATCAATATCTAGAGGCCCGGCATGGCTAGGTGGTTAAGGCACTCGACTCGCAATCTGAAGGTCGCGGGTTCGAATCCCTGTCACACCAAACATGCTCGCCCTTTCAGCCGTGGGGGCGTTATAATGTGACGGTCAATCCCACTATTCGTTGGTAAAAGAGTAGCCCAAGAGTTAGCGGTGGGTGGTGATGACTAGCTGCCTTTCCTCTAGTCTTACACTGCTAAATTAGGGACGGCTAGCGCAGATAGCTTTCGTGTAGCTTTGCGCGAAATTCAAAAACAAACAAACAAACAATATCTAGATTTTTTAAGTAATGATCCCAAACATATGAAAATAAATGTTCCTACACATCTTGCAAGTAGATGATATCGTTTGGTTTCCAATGAAGAAACGAAAGTTATTAGATTATTAGAACTAAAACAAGTCTTAATTCAGTGTCACTATCCAGAAAAAGTTATATTAAGAGGTTTTAAGATTCATGGGAGTAACTTTTTTATTAAAAAACATTTCAACAGAGATATTAATGAACCTAAAGAGAATATTTTACCTTTTGTTGTGACTCATTGTCCAAATATACATATTGATGTTTCAGTTGTTAATATGTTTGTTTGTTTGTAATTAAGCACAAAGCTACACAATGGTCTATCTGTGCTCTGCCCACCACGGGTATCGAAACCCAGATTCTAGCGTTGTAAGTCCACAGATATACCGCTGTGCCACTGGGGGCCAGTTGTTAATAAACACTTAAAATATATAGTAGATTAAAAAAAATTAAAAATGTATTCAAAGATGATAAAATTATTTTATCAAGAAGAAACCTAAATATTTATATAAATTATTGAATAATCCTAAAGAAAGTATTTTCAGTTGTAAAACAAATGATTATGCTTTATGTAATTTAAGATATATGAAAACAACCAAAACAATAAATAACAATAATAAATACATTTTGTTTTTCATTAATAAGTCATTTAATTGCATTTCTAAGAACGTAATATAAATATAATATAAATTTTGATGAATTCAATATATTGGTGAAACAGATAATTTAAGATTAAGTATAAATCTGCATAAATTCCATGTTAGATGTCCCGAAAAACCCACTATTTGCCATAAAACATTTTAATGAATGTATTTTGAGAAAATATAAAATTCTAAGAGAACCATATTTTCATGTTTTCTCTCTTTGGATATATAATGTAAAACATAAAATATTATTTTTCGAAAAATATTTTATGCAATTTTTTCGCCACTTTAAATAGATAGTAGTAAGAGGGCAGAAGTAACTGGCTGTATAAAGTCAGTAGGAATTGTGAAACCATAAAAAATGTTATTCAGACTTGACAGAAATAACAAAAACGTAAGTAAGGGAATGAAATTATAGAATAAGTAACTTGTATTTCTATAATAATAATTAGAATAATTAGAGTAAGATTTTTATCTTAGAAAGGACAGTATATTAACTAATTTTATATACTTTTAAGCATTTGTAATGTACTGAACTTATACATAGATCGTATTACACATATATTTACATTTGTAAAATATATGATTTAATGTATATTACTTATGTTTAGTTGAAAAATTGTATTTGTATGTTTCTGTTATAGACACTTAGTAAAATTATATCCTGAAAAGTGACCTTAAAGGTCACGAAACCGGTAGAAAAAATTAATAAAGGAGAGAAAAAAAAATAGAATAGTCTAACATTTCAGTGTTTTGTTATTCGTATCCACAGGTGAATCTTATTGATGTTTTTGTTATATATATAAACATATATACAAAAACGTTTGTATGTATAAGTGTGTAGTAAATCAGTACACTTCTTGGTTTGCCACTTTGATACATGTTATTTAAGCAGGCCCACGTTTGTATATATCAATATTTCTGCCACTTCTACCATTAAAACAGGTATCTCTGGTTCGTGCGTTTTCCGTGACAATGCCAATAAAACAGAAAGACCCACCTTCCTGTACTTAGTGTGGCTTTAGTGTTCCTTGTGTGTTGTGTGTGAGTTTATCAAGCTGTCGTGTCTTGTCTCGCTTATTCGTATCTGTAAAGCCCTTATCAAAAACTACGTTATTAGTTTTGTAGTGCGCAGATGCGTTGTAAGCGGAGCTCTACATGTGCGCCACAGGCTGAAAATCTTGTGTTCTGCTTGTTCCTTTTCTCCTTGTTCTGTACGCTTAGGTTGTCATGCACTTTGTCTGCCTTGAATTGTATCCACTCAAGGCAAAATCGAATTGATTACGCTGCAATTGCCTGCCATGCGTGTATGTTTACCACATAGGTCGAGGCTAGGGCCTTCACTTTCAATACACCTGCCTTTCAGGATACTGTGAAGGACTGGCTGTGACTGACTGTCCAACTCGAGCTAATGTATATACGCATTTCCGAGTACAGTTTGACTTAAACAAACCAATGGTTCTTTACTGAAAGTTGATGCTCTGAATAACTCAGACTTTAGTCGACTGGTTAGAGAATCAGATAATCAAGAAATATATTTGAAATAACGTTAAATAAGATCATCTCTACAGAGAACTGAATAGACTGGGCGAATGTTATTTATCGACAAAGTATCAGACCGAAAGCAGCATTTTGGTAACATTTTTTTAGAAACTGTAAAACATTATTTGCTAGATTGAATAACGCGTATGTGTTGTTGTTGTTATGAATTTTTAAGGGATTAAAACAAAAACGCTTCAAATACGAAACCATACCTAAAATATAACTAAATAACTGACAGTAGACGATAGGATTCTACATATGCTTAACATTTTGTGTAACAAACTTAGATGTAAAGGACAGTTCGCGATAACCGGGGTAGTAGGGATAAAACTTGAAAGCAAATAAAACTTAGTTGAAAACAGCAATTGACCTGACGTTTGAAAATTAATTTTGTCCAAAAAATTCGTTGAACTTTAGTAAGTCTTGGATACTCCAAGACTTACTACGTATGAAACAAAACCCCCCATCTATAAAATGTTTTGCGAGATAAACGGGCGTTTTGATATGAAGAGTTTTAAATATATCTAAATATTCAAGAACTTCATGTCAGAAGAGTACGAGAAGAGAAACTTCCAAAATAGGTGAATCTACGTTTCGTTGCTCAGAAAAGTCTGACACATCCGTTCCATCTGATAGTTCAAAGTGAAAATCAGTTAGATATTCTAGAAAGAATATTTTGAGATGTACTTGCTATGTGATCGTTCAGAGTGAAAAGCCCCTTAACACTTTGATCAAAATTCTGAAACTAGCATGTTAGCTGAACGTTCAGAGTCTGAATAGATTAAATAGTCGATTAGAAATACCTGTATCTGAACGCTCACTCGCGCACCACGAGATACAGAGACATAAGCTAAAGTTGCAGGAAAGCTGAACTCTACAACAAAACCAAGAACATTTTTCAGGTGAAAACTATTCCATGATTTAATCTTATAAATATAGACGCAAGAATGATAAGTCATTACAGAGGAGCTAGTGGCTCAGCTGTCGACTTGATACAACTTCAGTATAGTGAGACAGATCCTGCACCGATGAGTAATAAGAGCCGCCTGAGGAGGGTCTTCACCACATACACTAGGCGTCGTAAGAAACATTCGTCGGCATCAAAGTTTACTTTAACCTCTATGTTAAAGGAACCTCTCCGACTGGTTAATTCGGTCCCGCTCAACTTCCATTACAATAGGTGGGTGGTGCCTATTTTCTTCATCTGTTAAACAGTTGATAATGTATTCTTGTATCATAAGAGACATATCATATAATATATTATAGATGTATAAATGTTCTATATACAAATATATTACGGAAAGATGCGGCAGTTTCTTTTTATATGTTCAGAAAGAATTAAAATAACAATTTTTGTGCTACTTAACGCGCCTATAAAGTAACAGGTTATCTCGTAAATTCTTATTATACACACATGTCTGGAAATATTGTTGCTATTAAATCCGAACATTCATCCTCTAATTGCGGTTTGTTTAATATTATTTATACATTTTTTTCTGAAAGTTGCTGAATTATTTTTTAAGCTTTTTTAAAGATTAATTAAAGGAACTTTTGACTTAGATAAAGGTATAACAATTAAATACTGCAAAAGTAAAACGTTTTATAAGTAGTAATAATATATCATGCATTTTGCCTAAATAATCGGACCTAAGTAATCTCTCTCATGGTCTTCATAAACTGGGTGTAAAAAAGAAAACCGTTTTAATAACATCTATTGAATTAAAATTGTAATGATAGTCACAAATGTATAAACATTTGTTTATCTAAGATCTGAGTTTTTATGGTGATTACAGTCCTTGATAAAGGCACGTAACGAGCAACATTAGTTTAAAATATGAGCTTTTAGACTGCTTACAATCCCTCATAAATCAAACGAAGCAAATAATGTCATATCTGTGTGTCTCCGATTTAAAACTGGAACCAATCGGAAAACTCAGGTTTCAATTAAACATTATGTATTAACAATTTTTAAAATGTTGAAATAGTAATTATAAATTCATTTTAATGCTATGTAAGCTTGTGCCTTTTTTAATCATATGACGATCTAACATCCCTATGTACATGTATGGGTGTTATAATTGTGAACATTGTGATATTTAAATGTGATATTGTTATATAGAAGAATGATAATCCCAAAAGCAAAGCTTTCATTTTGTTCTCACATCAGATACATACAATAGATAATACACAACTTCCTTAATAGTTTTGTTTTTCAAAGGCATACGCATAACAATTAAAGTAGTTGGATCTTTGTCACGTTGTTATTTGATAGGATGTTAATGTAATATGTGACTTGTATAATGTCTAACGTCACTTTTGCATAAATATCTCAAAAGCAAAGAATGTGCGTTTGAAATATTTAGAATAGAACTACATTGTAATTATGCAGATATGATTATTTCAATTTAGTAAGCGTGCCAGGCTGCATATCAGAAGATCCAGGTTTTGTTAATGTTGGGGGCCTCTTTACTTGGCCGTTTAGCTCACGTGTCGCATAAAGTGTTGTCAAACTTTAAAATACCAATCATCATAGTCCTGAAATAACGGATTTCAGACGCAGAGAATGACATACACTTTGATTTAAGATGCCTCGACATTTAATTTATTGATTTCGTATTTGAATATTTTCTTTTGTTGAACTATCTTGTTCAACAGTTATGACAAGGCAAGAGTGATTATCGTTCATTTTTAGTGCCAACCATTGTTTTCTGTAAGAATGCTTTTCAACAATGCTTAAACGCCTTGAACTGTTAATAACCTTAATACTAGAAATAAATGACCATATAATACCAAAATGTTGTTTTTATTTAATTAAACATTCAACGTTTCTCTTTACAGCTTCTTCAGGAGGGTTCACTAAAGCCCAAACCGAAACTGACAGTACAAAGCTTCAGTTTGTGTTTTAGTGAACGCTCCTGAAGAAACTGTAAAGCGAAAGGCTGAGTATTTAATCAAATAAAAACAACATTTTGGTATTATAAGGTCGTTTATTTCTAGTATTAATATGTCTTCAATACACTAATATTCACAACAGAAATTTAATAACCACAAACTACACATTCACATGTTTCCTGGCTCAGCGGCAAGTCTGAGGGCTTTTAGCGTGTCTCGATACTTGAAGTGACCACAACACTGATAACCCATTGTGCAGCTTTGTGTTTAACAACAAACAAACAAATACATGTTCCCAAACCGAATGTATGAGTGTACGATTAATTGCTCGATTCACTAACAACTGTTTTCCAAAACACAGATCTTCGACTTTTGTCTTCTTGTAAATGTTCTAAAAAAGATTAAATTATACAAGAGATTATGATTCGTTTAGTGAAACGAATTTCATTTAGATGAAACCATTACCACCTACTCTCTTTCACCATTTCTTTCAAACAATATTGCACTTGTATCTGCGTTTGTTTCCTCTATTACTTTTTATATTTTTTGTTACTTTTCCTGGACACTTGAATAAAGCTCAAATTATTTAAGAACATTATGAGATCCTTTAATACTGGTTAAAGAGAATTAAATTTTGCTTAGTTATACGTTTACGTATCACAGAAAACAAAATCCGCTCTTCTGAATGTTTAACTCCAATTATATTGTACATTCAGCCCACAGGCTGGGAGTGGTAGTGTTCTGTGAATACACGGGTATGGCGTGATAATCAAACAAGTTCCCAAAACTGTGAATTGGGAAAGGCGGATCTGTTCATGTGTGTACATTTTGCTAATTCATCTCGTTAAAAAGACAAGTAAATTTAATTTGCACTTGGGTAATAGCCAGTTGCAGTACATGTAATTTTGTTATAGTGGAGATAATGATTTAGCAGCAAGTAGTGTTAAGGAAATGTTTATATAACCGTATTTCTATTGATTATTAAAACATACAACCTTCGAGTAAATATGTTGCACTGAATGTGATGTTTCACTTTTTAACAGACAGACTATGATCATTCTTCTGGCAAACGATCACTTACGCCATGATCTCATTAACTTATATACTAAATGCCTCAAGGCGTGTCGTAATTTTTCGTAGGCACTCGAACCGAGTTACTCGGAGAAGGATAATAATTTCCAAATCCCGGGCACCCGGCAGAAAATACTCGGTAATCAGAAATAAAATATTTAATAAAAACAGATGAAAAACTCCTGATGCTCCGGGGCATGGCATAACGGGTGAAACGTAAGGGATCCAGAATATAAGATAAAACTATAAAAAACTAAAAAAACAATTTGTGAAATAGATCTTACAAAAAAAATATAATGTTCTTATTGAAAAAGTCCTAGGGCTTAATGTCATTTATAGGTGGCATCATTAGTACCTTAAAGGAACACTAAAATATAAAACCACTCTCAACTGATCATTGTTAACTTAATGAGGACATTATAAAAGATCACGGAATTTAAAGATCATGCCCTGAATTAAGCATCCTCAGTAATCATTAGGAGTTGATGAGAATTTAGGAAATCCTTTGGGGTCGGTAACCGCCCTTGATGCTTATGTTGATGGATTTTCTATAGTAAACAAAATGTAATCACGATGCCTCATTTCCGAGAAATTACTACATTTTATTTTTAAAACACGTAATTGACAATAGCTGAATAAAAGTTTGAATTCATCTGTTGTTTTTTGTTTTTCAGTCTCGTAAGTTTGGTATATTTATTAGAATAAAACAAAATTTCTTCTGACAAATGGCCTCTACAGACAAAGCTAATAAAAAACGCTTTTGTCCTGAAAACCTGTAATAAAACTATACATATTATGGAGCTTGTTAGCTTCCTCAATACCTTTTTAGCCTGAAATATGTACTTTCTTGTTTGAATATATTCAATATTAAAATTCACAGTTTTTGTTATATAGAAGTAAGATACATAACAAGTAAAGTAACAGAGTGATGGTATCTAATTATAAGCTGACATTCATTAATAGAAATGACGTTAGTACACTTTCTATAAGGCCTGATGTGCCGGACTATAGATCCAAGAGTCTATGGCTCGTATCCCGTTTGGGCAAAAAAAATCGCACTTGCGTAGTTTTGGGGCATGGGTACGTCATAAAAGTGACTGTCAAATCCACTATTTGATTAAAGTAGCCTATTAATTAGTGTGGATGCTGTTGACTAGCTGATTTTTCTGTAGTCTATCAAAATTAGAGATGAAAATTATTAAGATAAAATAATAAAAAAAACATTTTCATTGCGATTATAACTCCTGAGCTGTCTATTCTAGATATTAGTTTAATACAAGTATTACTTTCCTT